AGCAAGATGAGTGATGGCTTATCTGTCGTTTTGAGACATTGGAAATGTACACATTGTTTTGAAGTGCATTGTGCAGTAGACCTCACAGCCACTCCTGTCTGGAACTCTGCATGCTTTGATCGGCCATCTTTCTCGTCCCCTCCCCCACAACACACATTCAGCCTCTGCTAACTGCTCACCTTCCACACACTTCAGTTCCTTTGGAAATCCACCCCCTTGGGGGAGAATTGTGTTGTAGAGTAGTTTGGTCTCAATGTTTTGAAATACTCCCATAACAACAGTGCTGTTTACTTTTCTCTCAACATTATACAGGAGTTTTCTAGCAACAGTTTCATCATTTTTTAAAAAAATTATTAAATATTGTTTAGCTTATACAATTCATTTGTGGTCCAGTTGCTGGAATAACCTGGTCATGCCTCATCCGTATTCTTGGTGGGATGGCCTGGGGATATATGGTAGACCAATCCATCACAAGAAATGGGAACCAAATCGCTTCCAGTAGTTTCATTCATTCATTCTTTTTTTTTTTTTTTAAGATTTATTTATTCTTTATTTTTATTACAAAGTCAGATATACAGAGAGGAAGAGAGACAGAGAGGAAGATCTTCGGCCCGGTGATTCACTTCCCAAGTGAGTGCACCGGCTGGTACTGCGCCGGCCTGAAGCTGGGAACCATTCCAGGTCTCCCACATGGGTGCAGGGTCCCAAAGCCTCGGGCCATCCTCAACTGCTCTCCCAGGCCACAAGCAGGGAGCTGGATGGGAACTGGAGCAGCTGGGACCAGAACCAGTGCCCACATGGGATCCTGACGCACTCAAAGCCAGGACCTCAGCCGCAAAGCCACGCCACCGGGCCCCCAGTGGTTTCTTTCTTTGTATTTTAATTTAAGGCCATTATTTCTTCATCTGTCATTGTCATTTCCACCTTTTTCATAGAGATTTTGGATCCAGTTTTTTCTTCTGCTTCTTTAATTGAATACTTGTCTTTATTTCTCTGTGAATGAATGATACTGTAGATTGTCACCTTACTATGTGCCTTGCCAGCAATAAAGTCCCATTTCAAAAGCTATTTTGTATATTTTGGAATTAATTTTAGTGAGCTGTTTGTGGGCTTAATTCCATCTCATTGTTAAATTTTCCATAAGAATACCCAATCTGTTTATACTTAAGTGGTAAGTTGGCCATGACTTCCTTCTCCAAGCTAAACTGTGGAGGTCTTCTCCCAATTTGTGTGCCTTTTGTTTTTTTTTTAAGGTCAATATAGGAATGTGCTTTGAGAAAGGAATTTTTGCTTTAAAAGAAGCCACAAAACACACTGAATTTTGGGTCTCATCATTAATCTCTCCTTGAAAAACCTTTTGAAAGACCAGTTTTAGATCTTTCTTCTGCTTAAACTATTATGTCTTTTTTTTATTGGTTTGGGTCCATTTTTAATTTCCTTTCTTAATATTCATGCCCATTCCATTCTTATTCTTGTAGTAATAGTTGGCATGGGATGGCTCTTTATTTTCTCTACAATGCTCCAAAATGCTGATGAAGATCTAAAGATACAAAACTCTATGCACTGTATCTTTTCTCCATTAATTTACTGTTCCTTTTTTTTTTTTAAGATTTATTTTATTTTTATTGGAAAGGCGGATATAACAGAGAAACAGAGAGGAAGATCTTCTGTCCGATGATTCACTCCCCAGGCGGCCACAACTGCTGGAGCTGAGCCAATCCAAAGCCAGGAGCCTCTTCCAGGTCTCCCATGCGGGTGCAGGGTCCCAAAGCTTTGGGCCATCCTCGGCTGCTTTCCAGGGCCACAGGCAGGGAGCTGGATGGGAAGCGGGGCTGCCAGGATTAGAACTGGCATCCATATGGGATCCCAGTCATGCAAGGCGAGGACCTTACCCACTGCGCCATCACACCGGGCCCTAATTTACTGTTTCAACCTTCCTTGGACAAACCCTTTGTGTGCCTGCATCTGCTACTACCTTAAACCCTTTGAGCCTTACTCATTTTGTATTTCCTTGTTCACATAAGTATTAAATATTTTCTAAAAGCAAAAACTTGTCGACCTAGGATAACGTACCCAGCAAAACTTTCCTTTGTTTTTGAAAATGAAATAAAATTCTTCCACAGTAAAAAAAAGTTAAAAGAATATGCCTCTTCCAAACCTGCCCTATGAATGATACTTAAAGATGTTCTCTTGACAGAGAAAAGGAATAGAACCACCCAAACCAAAGGCAAATGCGAAGAACATCCCAATAAGGTGACAACAGAAGACTAAATCAATGAACAACCCATTGCTGAAATGACAGGACAAATTACCATCCATTCATATTAACCCTGAATGTAAATGGTTTAAACTCATCAATCAAATGTCATGGATTAGCATACTGGATTTAAAAACAAAGCCCATTTATTTGTTGCCTACAGGAGACACATTTCACCAATAAGATTAGAGGAAACTGTATCTCATGGATTTTTTTTGTTAGTTTCATCTCTTCAAAACACTTTCTTTTGATTAAATTCTTCAGTGACTCAGATCATACGGTAGCATCATTTTCCTTCAAAAGGTTCTTGATTTTCATTTCTTCAGCGACACATTAGTCATTCAGTAGCATGTTATTTAACTTCATGGTGTTGTTGATTTCTTTTTTCTTCTTGTTGTTGGTTTTGTTTTGTGGCTATTCATTAAGGGGATGTATAGTAACTGTGTAATGGAGACTATCCTATCTAGTAGCAAGTTATTTAACTTCATGGTGTTGTTAATTTCTTTTTTTTTATTTGTTGTTGATTTTTTTGTATGGCTTTTCATTTAAGGGGATATATAGTAACTGTGTAATGGAGACTATCATATCTAGTAGTAGCATGTTATTTAACTTCATGGTGTTGCACATTTCTGTTTTACTTCCTGTTGTTGATTTGTATTGTGGCTTTTCATTTAAGGGGATGTACAGTAACTGAGTAATGGAGACTGTCATATCCAGATGTGAGGATGCAATGCAGTATGCATCTCTACTTGCAGGCTAAAGTTGGACTCCCAATGAAATTGTTTACTATATCTTGACAATTGGATGCTAAACTCTCTGCCGTTGTTCATGCCTGCAGTGATGGACATATGACTGTGTATGAAGAACTACACTATAGTAATGATATAGGTGAACTCAGTAAGGGAGGAGGGAATTGGGGATGGGATAAGAGAAATCCTAGGACCTATAGAATGGTATCATAAAATGATAATAATAAAAAGAAGTAAAATTTTAAAAAAGAATATAGTAAGAAGTGAAAATAATTCAAAACAATCATGTAATCTTAATTTTTAGTAAGAGGTAACAAAGAAGGAACACACACAAAGGAAAGGATGCTATGATGTTACTGAATCAAGCAAAAACTCCCACTCCTTTTATGATCAGTGTTCTGGCTCCAGATATTTTTGTTAGTAAGAAATATGTTTTAAAAAATATTTGATCTTAGGGGTTAGGGATTTTAATAATTATAAGGTGATTTTTATATAGTCCCATAAAATTCATAGTGATTCTTTTTTTATATACTTTTTAAAGATTTAATTATTTTTATTACAACATCAGATATACAGAGAGGAGGAGAGACAGAGAGGAGGATCTTCCGTCTGATGATTCACTCCCCAAGTGAGTGGAAAGGCCGATGCTCTGCCGATCCAAAGCCACAAGCCAGAAACTCTTCCTGGTCTCCCATCTGGGTGCAGGATCCCAAGGTTTTGGGCCGTCCTCTACTGCCTTCCCAGGCCACAAGAGGGAGCTGGATGGGAAGTGGAACTGCCAGGATTAGAACTGGCACCCATATGGGATCCCAGTGTGTTCAACGCGAAGAGTTTTAGCTGCTAGGCCACAGCGCTGGGCCCCGTAGTGATTTTTTAATGTATCAGTTTGGTAATTTTGATGTGAGTAATAAATATATAAAAAATGTAAAAAAAAAAATAGTAGGGTAGTGTCAGCTGTTTTTGGCTTCCTTTGCTCCATGAAAGATGTTCTCTACCAGAACTGATGTTGTTTTTCCCCATTTCCCTCACCTTCCAGTGGTAGAGAGACACAGGAAACTTTTTCACCAGTGGATGTCTCCAACATAATATTTGAAAAGTAAATAAATTATGGATTCTAAATAGTTTCTTATTGCAATGTTGTGATTGCCATAGAGTAGTACTGTTATGGTTTTCAACATTGTTTTATGCCAATATATAAATCTTAACTCCACTTTTGTTTTACATTTTTATTCTTATTATTTTCATCATTTTTTGCAGTGATAATAAGCTAATTTTAAATATAGCTTATTCTCTCAAAGTATTATTTTCCTCAACCTTGCATAATTCTTATATTTAAAATGAAGAAAATATTTTTAGACTTTGAGTCAAACTTTTAGATAAAACTTTTACAATATCTTTCTCAAAATATTTCCTGCAGGGGCCTATATTATGTTGTAGGAGGTAAAGCTACCACCTGCAGTGCCAGAGTTCCATGTGGGTGTGCCAGTGTGTGTCCTAGAGGTCCATTTTCAATCAAGCTCCCTACTCGTGGTCTAGGGACAGCAGTGAAGGTTGGCCCAAGTGTTTGGGCATCGGCCATTCATAAAGGAGACCTGGAGGAAGCTCCTGGCCCTGTCCTGGCCAGGCAGCTAGCAGGGTAATGCAGTGAATGGATATTCTCTTTCTTTCCCTCCCCTGTATGACCCTGACTTTCAAATAAATAATTCTTTAAATAAAATATATATAGATGATCAAACTAAAGTGAGCCTCAAAAATTTAAACATGTAGAAGATATATATATATCTTGTACATATATATCTACATATATACATATATCTTCTACATATCTTATATATATATATCTTCTACATATTTAAATTTTTGAAGCTCACTTTAGTTTGATCATCCTTTATTTTTAATTTATCTGATTGTTGTTATTGAAAGCTCATGAGATACAATGCTATGTAATTTAAGCCTGAAAAAAGTCATGATTTTTATTGGCCTTTTTTTTTTAGCATTCCATATTGGAAGAAGAGATTTTTATACGTGAAAAAAATGCCTTTGTTTAGTAAATCACAGAAGAATCCAGCAGAAATTGTGAAAATTTTGAAAGAAAACATGGCGATTTTGGAAAAACAAGACAAAAAGACAGAAAAGGTATGAGTTAAAGCAGTAATATTATTGTTTTATCCAAGGCCCAAGCCTAAAAGCCTAATGAAGAATCCCATTTATGATACATGATATGCACATAGAGTCTCTCAAAATACATTTACATCATTTTCAGGTTTTATGTAACCAATTATTGCTAGTCTCTTGTCTGGAACTCACAGTTCACTACTCTGGCCAACCCTGAATCCCTGCAGACCTTTGAGCTCAGAGATTTAAGAAGTTCTGTTAGTGTATCATGTTATTCTCATAAGAAAGATAGCACATGTTATTTAAGGATTAACTGACAGGCTTAGTGTTTGACTGACAGGCACCTACATCCCCTCCTGATTCCAGCTTTCCTATAATGCAGACCCAGGGAGGCAGCAGTGATGGCTATAGTTGCTGGGTTCCTACCACCTGTTGGGCGATGTGGAATAGCCTGCTGTCTTAAATCCCCCACCCTCCAGGTCCTAATGTCCATCAGTCTACTTTCTACCTCTATAGATTTGCCTGCTGTTCTTTTTACGTTATTATTATTATTATTATTATTATTTTGAGAAGCAGGGAGACAGACTGAGAATAAGCTTCAATCCACTCCCCACGTGCCTGCAACAGCCAGAGGTGGGTCAGTGCCTCAGCCAGAACCAGAACGCAATCGAGGTCTCCCACATGGATGACAGTGCCTAATTACCATCACCTGCTGTCTCCCAGGCTCTGCATTAGCAGGAGACTGCAGGCAAGCACTGGACCCAGGTACTCTGATGTGGAAGATGGATGTTGTAACTGTGAGGCCGAACGCCCGCCATGTATTACTACAGTATAATGAACTAATTTTAAGTTTCACAGAGAGCAAAAAGACATTATGACTGAAGGATAAATGGCTTGACAAAGTTTGAATTCTGATCGCCCTTATACTTTTTTTCACTGAAAGATCAAGAGAATAGGAATTGATTGAAAAACCTCAACACAATGAATGAAACATAATAGCTTCAGATAAGTCTTGAAAGTGAAGTCGGTTCAGTTTTCAAGGGTAAAATTTATATTTAATTTCTAACAAAATTAGCTTATGACTGAAGAAAGATTATTTCAGTGCATTCATTAAATGTCTTTGTAATATAAATTTTAGTAATGGTTTGCAAGATAAGAAAATGCAGCTTCCAAGTTTTGTTTTGTTTTGTTTTGTTTTTGCTTTTTTACAACTAAGCAATGATCTTTGGGTATAAATGAATAGTATCCAAGAAATAGGACTTTTTTTTTGTCTGCTTTTGACCTGCCAAGTTTTTATTCTTGTTGTCTGTTGACATACAAGGCTTCAGAAGAAGTGTCAAAGTCACTGCAAGCCATGAAGGAAATTCTGTGTGGCACAAATGACAAGGAACCCCCCACAGAAGCAGTGGCCCAGCTAGCCCAGGAGCTCTACCACAGTGGGCTGCTGGTGACCCTGATCGCTGACCTGCAGCTCATAGACTTTGAGGTAAGCTGCAACAGGATGGGAGCTGTGCTTTCAGTTTTGGTATATGTGACTATCGATATTTGACTATCCTTTCTTGTGTGTTGGGGGGTGGGGTGTGGAGTTATAAAGTTTTGTTCAATTATTTTATTTGAAAGGCAGAGAAAGATACAGACACAGAGAGCTCTTCCATCACTACCTAATTACCAAAATGCCTGCAATATCTGGGATGGGACAGGCTGAGATCAGGAGCCTAGAATTTTTTTTTTTTTGGTCATTCAGTAGCATGTTTTTTGTTGTTTGTTCATTTGTTTAATTTTGCTTCATTTTTATGGCACTGTCTCATAGGGTACTAGCTCATTCCCGGGATGTTCTACTTCCAATCCAGCTCCCTGTTTAATTGTGTGAGAAAAGCAGCAGAAAATGGCCCAAATGTTTAGACTTCTGCCACCCCTGTGGGAGACCTGGAGAAAGCTCCTGGCCCTTGATTTCAACCTGTTCCAACCCTAGCTGTTGAAGTCATCTGAGGAGTGAATCAGAGGATGGAATATCTGTCTCTACTTCTCTTTCTCTTTCTGTAACTCTTTCAAATAAATAAATATAATTTTAGAAAAGCTTTAGTTTTATAAAACTAAAACCAAGCAGAAATGTATGTCACAGTTGAGTTTTATGTAGCTCAGCAGCAAGGTCAATGACTAATGAGAAAAAGCACTTTGTTGAGTGCTTACTAAATTCCAGCTACCATTAAACTCATTTGACTTTTAAAACTACTTTTTTGGTTAATGCTGTATTTTTTTTTGTTTCATGTTATAGGTGAAGGGCCTAGGGTTCAAGTATATTAAATAATTTGCCTTAAGTCATTAGGTTAGTAAGAACATAAGCCAGGATTCAAACTCCGTCTCTACCAAGTCCTTTTCATTACATTTTTCCAGCAAGTTGGGAAGTTTGTTATATGCTAGTAATATAGGATATTGTTCTCACTTGGAAAGAAATTGTATGTAGCTTAAATAGTAAGCTAAATAAAACAGAAATAAATCTTGAGTATGTGTATGTGCTTATTAAAATTTATTATACAAGGATACCTCTAAAGTTTATGGTAAACAGGATTAAAAGACATTTCTTTCAGGGTCAGCATCCCATATGGGTGCTGGTTCAAGTCCTGATGGCTCCATTCTAAACCTACTTCCTGCTAATGTGTCTGGGGAAACAGCAGAACATAGTCCAAATATTTGGGTTCCGTCACCCATATGGAAGCCTCAGAAGAAATGGCTGGCTCCTGGCTCTGGCCTGGCCAGTGCAGCTAGTAATTGGGAGGTATCTCTATTTTTCCTTTCTCTTTGTAACGCTGAAAGAATTTTTTTTAGAGAAAAGATACTGCTTTCAATATTAATAATTTTTTTAATCCTAACTTTTTTTAATGAACATTAAAAAAAAAATAACAACATGCTTAGCTTAAAATACTGATTTTTTCAGTGAAAACTGTCAGTAGGGCCAGTCTGGGCATTGGCTGCTGAGATGATGAAGTCCTAGATCTGTTTTATTTGCAGCCTTGTTTCTGCCATGATGCTTTTGGTGGTGTCAGACAAGTGCTTGGGTGTCCATTAAGACTGAGAGCTGGAGCAGTGCACACATTTCTTAAGTGAACTGTGCTTAGCTGTGTTTTTGAGCAAGTACAAGAACAGTAATGACTGATTAGGCCGAGATTCTGTCAGGGCTCTGGGGAGTCTGTGGAAATATGAGTCCACAGTCTGCTCAGCAGCTTCGATAGGGAAGGTTTTGTCTGATTGGATGGAGGAGGAAGAATGCAGAGCCAGTCTGCTGGGAGGATTCAAGACCCAGTGAGGCGCCTGGAGTGTCCAGGTGACAACTCATCCTTCCTTTCACATGCACCTGTCTGTCCGTCTGATCTTCTCTTTGTTTCTCCGCCTTTGACGTTCAGCCTGTTTTCTCTTTTTCCTCCCACATGATTTGCTTACTTTCCCATCTGCTCCCTAAACTGGCTATCTGTGAAATTAAATTGTAGTCTTACTGTGTTTATGTAGTTTCCTATTCCGTTTCAGTTATTGTAAAATAAGATATAAGGAACATTTGCAGCTGGTGTAGCATGGAGAAAAACACTGAATTAGAATTGCTTTAGAGTTTGTCCCAACTCTGCTGTTCCATATTCAGTATCTTAACCTCTTTAAACTTAAGTGTTTTCATTTATAAAACAGGAAGAGAATGAGTTTATGGCATTGTCTTAAATATTAAACTAAATACAAACATGTACATAAATGTTTTCAATAAGAGCATGAAATACACTCACAAGCTATGTGTGAAACTCAGGGAGTAGTATTTTCACTTCCTCTCTTTGCAAACTAAAGAACTGAGGAGAAATGCAAGTTGGTTTGTTTTTGTTATACCTCTTGATTTTTACTAGTTTTATAGTCAGTGACCATCTAGAAGCAAAAGATTCTCTCCTTCTAGGATTGCTGGTACATTTCTAGGAATGTACTGTTGTATACATTCCCCTGAGAACAGCAAGCCCTAGGCTACTGTTGTCATTAATTGCTGTGTCCACTTGCGTTAATTGTTAAGATTAAGCCCGGTTTGCTGGGATGGAGTGCTGGGGAGGACTCCAAAGGGTGGGCACGTTTTGGTGAATAAGCTGGAGATGGGATGTTAGGTGCAGTGACTTAGAGAAGCCTTGAATAGCTACAGAACTGCACAGGCTCAAAGACCTCTCTGAAAGGTGAGGGGACAGGAAGAGGTAGTCTCAGAAAACATTGCAAATCTTACAGTTTTTTAGCATTGGCTTAGATAAATGTACAGTAAGAAATTTATGCAAGTATCCCTTTTACATGAATTACTGAAAATAGTAAGTTTTAGTATTTATAAATTATTTCCAGATTAACACACTCAGTTCTTTTAAAAAATTGACTTGTATATTATCAGCCAGGTAAAGTTATTTTCTTTACTCCTTAGAGCAAAGAATTATCTTTTTGAATATTTATATTTTCTGTATAGTTGAGAATTCTTCAAATGGAGTTAATTCTACTTTGGCTTTTCAAAATAAAATGCATTATACACTTGTCTCCCCTCCAGAATACTATACTAGATAAAGTAAAGCACTTACTGATGACTTGAAGTATCATTATGAAGATCATTGTGATAATAAGACAACAGTCCTTATCTTTGTTTATTCAACTGAGGGAACACAGGCCTAGGGTTTAATAGCAGGTGAATGTGTAACTGTTGATGCAATCATTCCTGTCCTCCAGCTCATCATAGTAGACAAATGCCTCCTGATTGAATGGATGAGTGGCAGTTACAACTCTTTACACATTCCACCAATCACCAACTGCATGTGGCACTTTCAAAGGAGGCAGCATTATAGCATCTTTGGCCCACCTGCAGAAAGGTGCTGTGTTATCTCTATGACTTGGAGACCTGGATGATCAACCCATCGGGCGGAAACTTTCTCAGGCCCAAAATATCCATGCATGCTAGTGACAGCTTGAATTTTTCCTCATTTCTTGTGGAATTAGTAAATTCTCCAGAAGGCATTCATATTACTTGGAGTAGTGATCATGTTGTTTTAACAAGTCAATCTTCTCTTAAGGCTGTTTCTTGAAGAGTCATTTGACTATAACATTTCTGGTTTGCTTTTGCAACAAGAAAAAAAAAAATTAAAATTTTCGGGATGGACTGGAGCTTTGCCAGATAACCTACCAGGATCAAACATTCCTCACAGAATAAAAGTGCACTTTGTTTAGAGGACATCTGCAAGAAGTTGAGTTTTCTTTTCTGTTTTTTCTTTTTTTTTTTTTTTGAGGTTGGAATTTCTAAATAATATTTGCAACAAAAACGCTAGCAGAAAAAGATTGTACTGGATTCCTTTTACAGAGTAAAGCAACAAAAATTTGCTAAATGCCCTCATGTGCATTTATCATGAAGGAGGGATTTGAACTGGGAGCTAGGAAGTGGTGAAGTCAACAGAAGGCAATGATTTTGACAGGGCAGCAGGGGCTAACTCTGGGATCTTTGTGACAGAGCCATTTCTCCTTCAGGAATTCCAGAGAATTGTGACCCAATGAGGTGGTGACAATAATGGAAGACCCTACTATCGTGTGGATAATGGCTGGTTAGGAGATAGACCTCCGAACTTGTTTTAAAAAAAAACAACAACTCATTACCTAGCCATAAATTTTAATCTAATCCTTTAAGCTTTTTAATTGCTAACAGAAAAGAACCATGTTGGCATATGATTACGAGGGCTTCTTTTTTTCTTTTAATGGCTTGGGGCTGAGATTGCAAGGCTTCTGATTGTGTGGGCTCACATCACACTCAGAGCTATGTTTTTGTGGTTTGGAACTTCTTCAAGAAACAGCTTCAGACTCTTTGATGTTTTGAAACACAATGTGATAAGAAATCAAAGGATGAAAAACTGTGGCATCCAAGAGCAGAGGCATTCATTTTAAAGGCAGGTGTGCCTTGCAAAACCTGGGTGGATTCAAAGTTGACTGCCTGGGTTAAGAAAAAAAGCAGCTCAAAGGCAAGAAAACTTTTTACTGTGGTAACTTAATCTCTAATGATTAAGAATCAGCTTGAGTCTCAATAAACCATTTTATAGTACTAAGTATTTAAAAATTATATCTCTTGAAGATCTTTTTCTGTTGCCTAGAGCTAACTTGAGTAGTCCTTTACTAAAAGCAGGCAGAATATAAAGCCTTGAGATACAAAATGCTGGCTGCACTTCCCACCTTTAGCAATTTTTAAAATTTTATTTTTGATGATGTTTATATAGTTGAGAAGGATACATGCCTGTGTGGACCACCAATTAGTGGGAAGGGTCAAGGAAGTGGGATGAGACCATTGTTTCCAATTTTGTTTTTCTCCCTATATCTGGGGAAAGGGGAGAGATAAGGGGAGAAGCCGCACCCAATACCCTAGCTGCATCAGTACTGGGGGATGGGGAATGGCTACCTGATGTCATCTCAGGATCCCCAATGTGGGGCATGCTCTGAGGGTTCTGCTCAAATGTT